AAAACATCTCCATCTCGTTCTCTAAAATTTGGTCTCCATCTATCTCAATATCTCGGGTTCCCACCTGAACACCAAGCACCCCTCTTTAGCACAGTATTCCCCCCAAAAATCCACCTTTGCAGGAATTCAAAGGTTAGGAGAGCTCTGTTTGCGCTTTCCCTTGAAAACATCCTCAGTTACAAGCACGAAGGCAGGCTTTAACGAAAGGTTTCCGAACTAGCAAATTTTCTGGCTTTTATCGACATCTATCTCTTCCCTGCTCCCCCCTCCCCGCATTTCCCTACCTGCTATTGTTGGTTTTACTTCCCGTCTATTTTTAGCGATCGCGGCTTGGCTGCTCTTTGCCAAGAAAAGCGTCGCAGGAGGGGGGACAGTGCGCGAGTGCCATTCCACAATTAATACATTATGCCTCGTTGATTCCCCGCTGCGTTCATCTTTCTCGGTGTCGCATCGAGGGCTGGGGCCCGGGGTCGGGTGTTTGTTTCTTTTTAAGCCGGCGTTTAAATATTATTTGTCGAAGTCGTACAAAAAGGAGAAGAAGGAAGGCCTCTCTTGTTTAAATTCCCAGTACCAGTGGAAGCACCACCTTTCTCTGCGTAAGCAGGTTGCTTCTTCCCTGTGATGGCTTTGGTAGAAAGAGAAAGCGTGCTTTCTCTTCTGGCAAGAGGTCAAGATTCACTTGCTTTCTGATTTTTTTCCTCTGAGAGATGTGGGGCCATGGCAGCAAACCGCAACTAGAGGCGCGTGACATGCCTGAACATGATGGCGCATGTTCTGTTCTCCTCCTTCGAAGGAGCGTGTAAAACAGGTGGAGATCTGCAACTTTGGGGTTTCTCTCCTGCATGCCGAAAGCACAGGGTTAAAACTTGCCAAGTACCACAAGCACCCCCCCTAAAAAGCCCAGGCACCTTATGTTCAAGCCCACTCAATGAGAGGATCCCCCAACCTGTTTGGAATTGCTTGGAAACTCAGGCGCGTGCCTATCCTGAATTAAGGTTGCCGTCAGATTTCACCACCTTACCATCAATAACAGGCTCGCTGCACATACCGTGCCGTTCACATCCTCCGTCCGCAGAAGCCAAGATCTGGACCTTGGTGCCCATTCCTCTCAGCCCGGAGGACGCGAAGGACTGTGTCTTAGAGCGACACAGAATTACCTGCCCTCAGGAAAGTCCACGCGTGGCTCTTGCAGAAATCCCATCCTGAGGTCCCTTGACCAGGAGGAAGCCAGTCTGCGGGACTGCAGAAGCTCAGTGGGCCAGCAAAAGTTGGCTGTGCTGCTGCATCAGAAAAAGAACAAGGTAAATCTAGGAGCCTGGGAACTACTAACATGACTTCAAGTAAAGTTGGAGCAACCAACTTCTAGATCTGTCTGTCCAGCCTAGCCTCCTTGAGGTGTGTTGCACAAATCAGATTGGAGAAGAAAAACAAAGGCAGAAAATTATGGCGCACATCGTTGTCCACTGAGCTGTTGTGAATCTCTTAAGAGCAAATCGTGCACGTCCAACTTTGCTTTTGGGGGAGAGGAGACAGACCCTAGACGTAATACGTAGCTTGGTTTAAGCACAATTCTTATATCCATGTTGAATCACTGGTAAAGCATCGGTTGATCAGTAACAGAAATATAGTGACTGAGTCCCTGGGAGTAACAGCTCCGCTCTCTTCTGGGTTTGTTAGATGGTATTTTGAATATTTGGTATTATTCTGGAAGAAGGGCTCTAGCAAAAAGCAACCAAGATGGTGTGTGGACAAGAAAAGAAGTCCCGTGTACTGGTTAAAAAAGTGAGGTATGTTGGGTTTGGAGAAGATAATTTTCCCCTTTAAAGAGTGGGCGAGTCCCACCATCCATAACTTTTGCTTGGGGGGTGGTCAAGGTTACCTAGGTTTGTGGTTATCAGAGTTAATTTTGAGAGTCAGAGATTCTCAGGGCAGAGATGTCCGTGATGTCGACAACCCACGGTGACTCCACTCCATAAGACAGAAAGGCGGTTAAGTCATAGGAGAGGTGGGAAGAAAGACAACTTGTGGATCTGGTTGGGGTTCCAGTTGCTCCTTCTGCATAGAACGATTTCCTGATGGCACTTAGGTTGATAGGCCAGCTGGCCTCAGATCCTAGGTCGACTGTAGAACCAGTCCACCAAGAATCCTGTTACAGGCTTACACCAAGGCCTAAGTGATCCAGCCTCCTGTTTCCAAAGTCGACCTCAGAAGTACTTCCAGAAGTCTCCAAACTAGGCTAAAATCACATTCCTTGAGTTACCTTGATAACTTCTATATCCTCTCATCCATCGGAGAGTTCCTTCATCAACAAGGACAGATCCAGGAGGCCACTGTGCTGCTTTTCCCTTTCAGTTGGCGACATGGCATAGAGTGTGAACACCACCGTGGTATTGTCAGGGGCTGTTTCATGACCCAGCCCACCCTGGGAAGCTCTACCGTGGTTTATGTCTTTGGGCATGGCATAGTAGTCTGTCTGTCTGTCTGTCTGTCTGTCTATTTATCCGAATTTGTCACCGCCCATCTTGCTGCAAGGCGACCCTGGTTAACTACTACGCCATGCCCAAAGACATAAACCATGGTAGAGCTTCCAGGACCATTTCCAGGATATTTCACTCTGGGATCTCCTGGTCTCCCATCCCAATCCTAGCCAGACCTGGTCCTGCTTAGGGCGCGGTCACTGGCTGAGACAAAATGCCAACAACCCCACCCCAACCCCTCCCTCCCTCCTTCCCATCCATCCATCCATCTCCTTCATTCCTTCCCTCTGTTCTTCCTTCCTGCCTTCCTCTCCCACCCCTCTCCCTCCCTTCCTTCCCCTCCCCCTTCCCCAATCCTGCTGGTCCTCTGAGCCCCATTTCACTTCCTGCAAAC